ATCATCAATATAAGTATCAGTGGACATAGGATTTGCTACCTTAACATCCGAACCATTTTAAAAACTGTCCCCATTGCATTTACTATCTCTTTATTTATTATATTCACGTGTATCTTCTAGGTCATCATAATATTTCATACGTATGTTTCATTGGTGCAAAAATCACGCATCAACAGAATCACTCAAAATAAACAAGAAGAATTGACTCACAAGTTCGATGAAGAGGTGGGAGAGATAGAAGGCGGCTGCTATCTCTGTTCAAAGAATTTCATCGTTAATTAACAGGCTGATAAAATAACCATAAAATAACGTCAGTTTGACTTTTTTGCCCTTTATATAAGGGATATAATATCACCAAAATCAGGCTTCTACGAAAAGAGAACTGAAGCCTCTTTGACACGAAATTAGCACAAAATTGTCATTAAAAAAATCAAATTCCCCTATTTAAACCCAAACATTCACCGACCTTCCCTTTGATTCCTTCTCTTTCTCTCAGCTTTCTCCCATTTTCTTTTTCTCTTTTTGGAAAAAAAAAAAAAAAAAAATCAAAAACCAAAAAACAGGTAATTTATTTATTTATTATAAATTTAATATTTTTTTCATCATCTGGGTTTGGTTCTTATAGCTATTGATTAGATCTTGAAGTTTTTGTTTTTGGGTTTTAGATGTCAGATCTTTTGTGTTTTGATTGAAGTTTTTTTATGTTTAGTCGAACAGAAATCTTGGAATTTGAATTAGGTTTTGTGATTATAGACTGTTTCGGGATTTTGATTTTGATTTTTTGTAGTTTTGTTATCAGTTTTTTGTATTTTGAATAATTAATCATGGTTGATTGTTGTGTTATATTGATTTATTTTGTTTTTTATCTGAATTTGATTTGCTGTAATTTAGATCTAATCCCGGGTTTGGTTTAAATTTGGATTTTTAGTCAAACCAAGATAAGGAAAAGGAGTTCTACTACTAAATTTGATTGTTAGTTTGTGGAATAATTCTGTCTGTTTTGAGTTTTTAGTTTAGAAAGTTTTGATTTTTATGATTTTGGTACAGAAAGTTTGAATTTCTATGTTTTTGATTGCAGGGTGTTTGTTGAAATTCCATAATGTTAGAGCAATTGCTGATCTTCACTAGAGGAGGGTTAATCTTATGGACTTGTAAAGAGCTTGGGAACGCTCTTAAAGGTTCTCCGATTGATACCCTGATTAGGTCATGTCTATTGGAGGAGCGATCTGGATTGGCATCGTACAATTATGATGCTCCCGGTGCTGCATACACCCTCAAATGGACCTTCCATAATGAGCTTGGCCTGGTTTTTGTTGCTGTGTATCAGCGGATACTTCATCTGCTTTATGTGGATGATTTGCTTGCCATGATGAAGCAGTCTTTTTCAGAGATTTATGATCCGAAGAGAACGGTGTATAATGATTTTGATGAAACGTTTAGGCAGATTAGGATGGAGGCGGAAGCCCGGGCTGAGGAGTTAAAGAGATCAAAGCAAGTGGGTAAGCCTGTTAACAATGTTAAGAAGCAAGGAGGGAAGGTCCAGAAGGTTGGATTTGAAGGAGGAAACAAGAAGAGTGAAAATGGCTTGGCAAATGGTGATGGAGATGCTGATCATGTCAAAGGACGTAAGTTGGGGAATGGACTCTCCAATGGTAACCACGTTGACACTGAAGAGTTTAGGGTAGCAGGTGATGTTAAGGGTAAAGAAAATACGAGCTCTAACATAGGGGCTTTTGATGTAAGTAAGTTACAGAAATTAAAGAGTAAAGGTGGTAAGAAAACTGATACTGCTGTTGTTAGCAAGGGTTCAAAACCGGACCCTAAGAAAAAAATAACAAAAAAGAATAGAGTTTGGGATGAATCGCCTCCAGAGTCCAAATTGGACTTTACTGATCCTGTTGATGGAAATGGCAATATTGAGGTTGAGGTAGCTGATCACGGCGAAAGTATGATGGACAAAGAAGAGATTGTCAGCAGTGACAGTGAATCTGAAGAAGACGAGGAAGTGGAAAAGAGCGGCGACAAGCCTGATGCTAAGAAGAAGGGCTGGTTTTCATCTATGTTCCAGAGGTAAATTTGTTTGATGACTTCCTTTTAGTTCATCAGCTTTCTATTGTTATTTATGAGTTGGGGTTCATCACTTTTATTAGCCAAATTTGGAATCTGCTTGCCTCTTGGTTTTATGAGGAGCTACAGTTGACTAGAATATTTAAAATTTTTAAAGTCCAGTTAAATTTTAATTTAATTTCATCTACTTTTCCTATTTTCGGCAATGTTTTTGTGTTCAGTATTGCTGGAAAGGCAAACTTGGAGAAGGCAGACTTGGAACCAGCTCTCAAAGCTCTCAAGGATAGGCTCATGACCAAGAATGTGGTATGTTACTCTATTCCTGAATATTTTTTTTTTTTTATATGTATTTTAATTTTTGATTTTTTGATACTCAATCTTAGGAAGCTGCTAACGAGTTGAGTATTGTGACACTGACAGGCTGAGGAGATTGCTGAGAAACTGTGTGAATCAGTAGCAGCAAGTCTTGAAGGTAAAAAGCTGGCATCTTTTACAAGGATCTCTTCAACGGTTCAGGTTCGTAATTTTCATATTCTTGTTCTTTTAATGTTTTATTTTCAATTTTTTTCTTTCTTTTTCATTTTCTTGTAAGGGCAATAATATATTAATATGTCAAATTCTGATTGCAGGCTGCAATGGAAGAGGCCCTTGTTCGTATTTTAACTCCAAGGCGCTCCATTGACATATTGAGAGATGTTCATGCTGCCAAGGAACAACGAAAGCCTTATGTAGTTGTTTTTGTCGGTGTTAATGGAGTTGGAAAATCTACCAACCTGGCCAAGGTTTAAGCTGATCACCTTGTTAGATTCTCTAAATTATTTTGTTTCATAACTTCTGATCATGTAGGCTAATGGCAAACTTGACTTGCAGGTTGCTTACTGGCTTCTCCAGCATCAGGTCAACGTTATGATGGCTGCCTGTGACACTTTTCGGTCAGGAGCTGTTGAACAATTGCGCACTCATGCACGCAGACTCCAGGTATAAGTTGGTCACTCTTTAATTTTCTCAGGGTTATTTGACCTCTTAGTTGGTATGTGGCACTTACACGGGCACTTATACGGTTACTTATGATGACACTTGTCAGATCCCTATATTTGAGAAGGGCTATGAAAAAGATCCTGCCATTGTTGCGAAGGAAGCTATCCAAGAGGCCACTCGCAATGGCTCTGATGTTGTTCTTGTTGATACAGCTGGTCGGATGCAGGTATTCTCTAAATTCTGCTGTTTTGTGTTGCATATGTATTTAGATATTGTCTGGCAAGCACTTTTAAGTCCTATCAACAAGTTTCTGGCAATATTCACTTGATTTTTCTTGATTAAGAAAGGAGAAAAAAAAAAAAAAAAATGCCATTGAAGTATGTTTCAGCATTAAGCCAATGAGATCATGAATACCGATCAGGCTGTTTGTGAATAATAGGATCTTTATATTCAATGTAGATTTATACCATGGTTTACCGTGCATGATTATCTACTGCTGTATTGTTAACATCTATACTAATGCTTTTTAGGATAATGAACCACTAATGAGGGCTCTCTCAAAGCTTATCAATCTCAACAGTCCTGACCTTGTCCTGTTTGTTGGAGAGGCTCTTGTGGGAAATGATGCTGTTGATCAACTGTCAAAGTTCAATCAGGTTTGGTTTATTATTCAGGATTTTTATTCATCGTTGTTTACCATGTCATTTTTGTTATGTTAATCATAAAGTATCTTTTGTATAAGCAATCCCTTGTTCTTGCAGAAATTGGCTGACCTGTCGACTTCTCCTAATCCCAGACTGATAGATGGGATATTGCTCACTAAATTTGATACAATTGATGATAAGGTAGGCAAATCTGTGCACGTACAAAGAATTTCTATGTTTCAATTTAATCTCTTATCTTGTTTTCATCTTTATCTTTAGCGTGCTCTACATGGGTAGGGCAGGCTTTCCATTAACTCAGTGCTTTGGTTTTTGTCGCATCATCTATGTTTGACAAGGGAATTGATATGTTAGTGGCCAACAAGCTTTTGGCATTTTAGCACTCACATTGCTTTTAACTGAAATGGATGTAGGTAGGAGCTGCATTATCGATGGTGTATGTTTCTGGAGCACCAGTGATGTTTGTCGGCTGTGGACAGTCATACACCGATTTGAAGAAGCTGAATGTCAAGTCCATCGTGAAAACGCTGCTGAAATGATACTGTCTCAACCCTGTTATGTGTGCTACAATGTTGTGAACTGTTTATTGCTATGACCTTGTTACTTTTGTTGGAGGCAAGTCAGTCCCTTGCGGCTGTAATAAGTTAATATTAATTTTAACCTTTTTTTCCTTTTTTATCTTCATACTGGAGCCTTGTTTTCATGTATGTGAGTCCTGTGTAGATTTGGTTAATCTCTGATATAGATTTAGAAAATTTTAGAATGGCACCAAATTCTGCACCTTTATTGTGTTTTCGGATATAAAAGCGATTACTGGATTAAGCAATTAGATTACCGGATTCTTGTTTTTGGGTTTTAGATGTCAGATCTTTTGTGTTTTGATTGAAGTTTTTTTATGTTTAGTCGAACAGAAATCTTGGAATTTGAATTAGGTTTTGTGATGATAGACTGTTTCGGGATTTTGATTTTGATTTTTTGTAGTTTTGTTATCAATTTTTTGTATTTTGAATAATTAATCATGGTTGATTGTTGTGTTATATTGATTTATTTTGTTTTTTATCTGAATTTGATTTGATGTAATTTAGATCTAATCCCGGGTTTGGTTTAAATTTGGATTTTTAGTCAAACCAAGATAAGGAAAAGGAGTTCTAGTACTAAATTTGATTGTTAGTTTGTGGAATAATTCTGTCTGTTTTGAGTTTTTAGTTTAGAAAGTTTTGATTTTTATGCTTTTGGTACAGAAAGTTTGAATTTCTATGTTTTTGATTGCAGGGTGTTTGTTGAAATTCCAGAATGTTAGAGCAATTGCTGATCTTCACTAGAGGAGGGTTAATCTTATGGACTTGTAAAGAGCTTGGGAACGCTCTTAAAGGTTCTCCGATTGATACCCTGATTAGGTCATGTCTATTGGAGGAGCGATCTGGATTGGCATCGTTCAATTATGATGCTCCTGGTGCTGCATACACCCTCAAATGGACCTTCCATAATGAGCTTGGCCTGGTTTTTGTTGCTGTGTATCAGCGGATACTTCATCTGCTTTATGTGGATGATTTGCTTGCCATGATGAAGCAGTCTTTTTCAGAGATTTATGATCCGAAGAGAACGGTGTATAATGATTTTGATGAAACGTTTAGGCAGATTAGGATGGAGGCGGAAGCCCGGGCTGAGGAGTTAAAGAGATCAAAGCAAGTGGGTAAGCCTGTTAACAATGTTAAGAAGCAAGGAGGGAAGGTCCAGAAGGTTGGATTTGAAGGAGGAAACAAGAAGAGTGAAAATGGCTTGGCAAATGGTGATGGAGATGCTGATCATGTCAAAGGACGTAAGTTGGGGAATGGACTCTCCAATGGTAACCACGTTGACACTGAAGAGTTTAGGGTAGCAGGTGATGTTAAGGGTAAAGAAAATACGAGCTCTAACATAGGGGCTTTTGATGTAAGTAAGTTACAGAAATTAAAGAGTAAAGGTGGTAAGAAAACTGATACTGCTGTTGTTAGCAAGGGTTCAAAACCGGACCCTAAGAAAAAAATAACAAAAAAGAATAGAGTTTGGGATGAATCGCCTCCAGAGTCCAAATTGGACTTTACTGATCCTGTTGATGGAAATGGCAATATTGAGGTTGAGGTAGCTGATCACGGCGAAAGTATGATGGACAAAGAAGAGATTGTCAGCAGTGACAGTGAATCTGAAGAAGACGAGGAAGTGGAAAAGAGCGGCGACAAGCCTGATGCTAAGAAGAAGGGCTGGTTTTCATCTATGTTCCAGAGGTAAATTTGTTTGATGACTTCCTTTTAGTTCATCAGCTTTCTATTGTTATTTATGAGTTGGGGTTCATCACTTTTATTAGCCAAATTTGGAATCTGCTTGCCTCTTGGTTTTATGAGGAGCTACAGTTGACTAGAATATTTAAAATTTTTAAAGTCCAGTTAAATTTTAATTTAATTTCATCTACTTTTCCTATTTTCGGCAATGTTTTTGTGTTCAGTATTGCTGGAAAGGCAAACTTGGAGAAGGCAGACTTGGAACCAGCTCTCAAAGCTCTCAAGGATAGGCTCATGACCAAGAATGTGGTATGTTACTCTATTCCTGAATATTTTTTTTTTTTTATATGTATTTTAATTTTTGATTTTTTGATACTCAATCTTAGGAAGCTGCTAACGAGTTGAGTATTGTGACACTGACAGGCTGAGGAGATTGCTGAGAAACTGTGTGAATCAGTAGCAGCAAGTCTTGAAGGTAAAAAGCTGGCATCTTTTACAAGGATCTCTTCAACGGTTCAGGTTCGTAATTTTCATATTCTTGTTCTTTTAATGTTTTATTTTCAATTTTTTTCTTTCTTTTTCATTTTCTTGTAAGGGCAATAATATATTAATATGTCAAATTCTGATTGCAGGCTGCAATGGAAGAGGCCCTTGTTCGTATTTTAACTCCAAGGCGCTCCATTGACATATTGAGAGATGTTCATGCTGCCAAGGAACAACGAAAGCCTTATGTAGTTGTTTTTGTCGGTGTTAATGGAGTTGGAAAATCTACCAACCTGGCCAAGGTTTAAGCTGATCACCTTGTTAGATTCTCTAAATTATTTTGTTTCATAACTTCTGATCATGTAGGCTAATGGCAAACTTGACTTGCAGGTTGCTTACTGGCTTCTCCAGCATCAGGTCAACGTTATGATGGCTGCCTGTGACACTTTTCGGTCAGGAGCTGTTGAACAATTGCGCACTCATGCACGCAGACTCCAGGTATAAGTTGGTCACTCTTTAATTTTCTCTGGGTTATTTGACCTCTTAGTTGGTATGTGGCACTTACACGGGCACTTATATGGTTACTTATGATGACACTTGTCAGATCCCTATATTTGAGAAGGGCTATGAAAAAGATCCTGCCATTGTTGCGAAGGAAGCTATCCAAGAGGCCACTCGCAATGGCTCTGATGTTGTTCTTGTTGATACAGCTGGTCGGATGCAGGTATTCTCTAAATTCTGCTGTTTTGTGTTGCATATGTATTTAGATATTGTCTGGCAAGCACTTTTAAGTCCTATCAACAAGTTTCTGGCAATATTCACTTGATTTTTCTTGATTAAGAAAGGAGAAAAAAAAAAAAAAAAATGCCATTGAAGTATGTTTCAGCATTAAGCCAATGAGATCATGAATACCGATCAGGCTGTTTGTGAATAATAGGATCTTTATATTCAATGTAGATTTATACCATGGTTTACCGTGCATGATTATCTACTGCTGTATTGTTAACATCTATACTAATGCTTTTTAGGATAATGAACCACTAATGAGGGCTCTCTCAAAGCTTATCAATCTCAACAGTCCTGACCTTGTCCTGTTTGTTGGAGAGGCTCTTGTGGGAAATGATGCTGTTGATCAACTGTCAAAGTTCAATCAGGTTTGGTTTATTATTCAGGATTTTTATTCATCGTTGTTTACCATGTCATTTTTGTTATGTTAATCATAAAGTATCTTTTGTATAAGCAATCCCTTGTTCTTGCAGAAATTGGCTGACCTGTCGACTTCTCCTAATCCCAGACTGATAGATGGGATATTGCTCACTAAATTTGATACAATTGATGATAAGGTAGGCAAATCTGTGCACGTACAAAGAATTTCTATGTTTCAATTTAATCTCTTATCTTGTTTTCATCTTTATCTTTAGCGTGCTCTACATGGGTAGGGCAGGCTTTCCATTAACTCAGTGCTTTGGTTTTTGTCGCATCATCTATGTTTGACAAGGGAATTGATATGTTAGTGGCCAACAAGCTTTTGGCATTTTAGCACTCACATTGCTTTTAACTGAAATGGATGTAGGTAGGAGCTGCATTATCGATGGTGTATGTTTCTGGAGCACCAGTGATGTTTGTCGGCTGTGGACAGTCATACACCGATTTGAAGAAGCTGAATGTCAAGTCCATCGTGAAAACGCTGCTGAAATGATACTGTCTCAACCCTGTTATGTGTGCTACAATGTTGTGAACTGTTTATTGCTATGACCTTGTTACTTTTGTTGGAGGCAAGTCAGTCCCTTGCGGCTGTAATAAGTTAATATTAATTTTAACCTTTTTTTCCTTTTTTATCTTCATACTGGAGCCTTGTTTTCATGTATGTGAGTCCTGTGTAGATTTGGTTAATCTCTGATATAGATTTAGAAAATTTTAGAATGGCACCAAATTCTGCACCTTTATTGTGTTTTCGGATATAAAAGCGATTACTGGATTAAGCAATTAGATTACCGGATTAAGCGATTACTGGACAATAGATTTCGGTTGGTTGATACAGTTCTGAGTGTAGAACTTAAAAAACCTAATATTGATGACAGACAATTCTTTTTGAAACCTTCGAACTCATTTTCATATTTCTTCATCATCCTTCTCCAAAATTAGAAGCCATAGTTGTTTAGTTAGAAACAGAAGTTGCTGTTATGATGCAGTTTCACCCTTCAATTGCCGTATGTATATACCGGCGTGATCTGGCAGTGGCATCTCAATGTTAATGACCTACTGTAATGACGGCGAGCAAAAATTAATTAATTTGAAAAAGATTTTGAACATAAATACATAAGACAAGCAATTGAAGTTGTTTACCATGTGTTCAGCAAGATCTTCGATGGTCTTGTTGAGGTTATGAAATGCAGAGTCGTGGTGAAAGAAGTTAGACCATAGCAGTGGTGGTGAGGTGACCGTAGGAGAAAATGATGCCAAACTCTTCGCCGTAAATTTTTAAGGTGGTCAATCTGCATTTATTCAAAGTGGTCAATCTGCATTTATTCTGGTTATGTATTCCTATGGAATGCACTCAATGCAGTGGACACCATTAAAACTTTAATCAATAAATAATTTACTAATTGCAGATCCTTAAGTTCAAAAGCACGAATATTCAAACCCGATTTTTTTGATTAATGAATAAAACTATAGTTATATAGAAAATCATCAAAATAATTTATTAATGGTATTTTTATAATTATCTTGAACTTATTTACATATTTGTGTGTGGTATAGTTTCATTATAAATGTCATTAAGTTTGCATTTCCTTTTATGATTGATTATATCATATATTATTATGATTATAATTATATATTATCACCAATTGTGGATGTTTTTATTTTATTAGATTAATAGACAAATAATCTTTACCTTTAAGATCCAAGAACATGCAATAAATTTTTAATCGATGAATGCATAAATAATAATATTATACCCATAACCTTTTTATAAAAACTTTCTCTCGTAAATTTATGTGGTAAAAGATAATTAAGTGAAAATTTATTTTAAATTTAAAACCATCTAATCATTTTTTCCACATAAGTTTGTAAGAGTAAATTTATATAAAAAAATTGTGGGTATAATATTACTTGTATATAAATTGCAACATAATAAACAATTTATAATAATATTTAAGTAATGTTATGCTTACAACCGAGTCATACAACCAAATAAAAAACAAATGATAAAATAGTCATTTTATATTAATTTTGTGTAATTTTTGCCTGATCGTATGATTCAATTGTAAACACAACATTATTGATAACAATTTCAAATGGAAAATATAATATATTCACCATTCTGTTGCCATAAATACCGTGCAAAAATTAAACGTTACTGGTATCCCAGTAATATTACTGTGTTACTAAAAATTTCTCCAATGAACAATCAATAATCACAGCTCATCATCATCACCACCATAGTGCCAGCGTTCATATAAATACTCATTCATTTTTTCTCTCGCCCTCCAATAACAAATAGTATCCCCTTGGACATTTAAGTTTACTTTCTCTCCTTTGTCACAGTGCCCTTCAGCTCCACTAATGAAGTAGAAATTCCCTCAACGGTCTAATTCAACAGTGGGGTTACCATCTCTGTATTGTTTAATGGCAGGCTTCATAGTCCTCCCTGCTCACTTCCAATACTGAATCAGTTTTGTTATCGTATTTGAACGCTGCAAACATCAGTAGTATAGTTAATTTTTATATCAGTAGGATAAGGCTTTAATTAAAACTAAAGAATTAGTAAAGAGAAATTACTAAGAGTATCGCCTACTATGAACTCATCAATTTTCTTTGCCCATTCTTTGAAAGTATTATTGGATGGTGGTATGGTCCATGAAGTTTCATTGCCTCCAACCAGAAGCTCTTTCTTGTCACAAAAGGATGTGGCTTCAGGCAAGATAAGCAATAAGGAAGTGAGAGCTAAGATTGCAAACCGGATTTGAGAACTTCCATCTTTTGTTATCACAATGTTTTCTCTGTTCTTTGCATAAACCGACTCAGCGAAGTTGATAATGACAACGGGGGAAGAGGATGAGAGAAGCTAGGGTTTTGCCTATATTTATACTGGGTTAAGTACCTTTTGCTCCCTAGGGTTTTTTTTAGGTCCAGTAATATCCTACAGTTACACTTTTGTCCTCTATAGATCAAATTAAGCATGTATATAAGCATATATCTGTTACCTTCGTTTGTGCATAATCATATTACTGTTACGATTTTATAATAATGAATGGATAAAAACTTTTTTTTTTTTCTTAATGGTCGAGGATGTTCGGGCCAGTTTTACGCGTACCTCAACTAATCTCTTGAGACCCTGAAACTACCGATCTAGTGAGAGCTCTACTAGCCATCACTATTAATAATCAAGAAGTGACTTGAACTAAGAACCTTTTGAGTAATACACCTAAAAATCCATATCGAATCACTCGGCTATCAAAGGGTTGGTTAATGGATAAAAACTTGCGTGTAGTTTTACTTTTTTGTTATTTTTATAATCAGTTATAAATTCAAGAAACTATGCATAGTATTTTTGGTGTCTCAAATTTTGATTTTTTCTTCTATTCTTAATATTGGGTTGCTAAAAAAAATCATGATATGAAATGATAAACATCGATTTAATTAAGTTTTAAGGCTGATTAAGATAAGTAAATAGAAGTTTATGAGTAAAGAAAATTAGAGAACGATGTTCTCCTTTTAGTATTATCTCTTTATTCTTATTTATTATGAGAATTTCTAGTTTGGGGGTTGCTTTTTGTATCTTTACCCTAAGAATGATTCACATGGATAGGAAATGCCGAAATGTTCCTTTAAAATACTGTGGGAGTAAAGCACTGATTTGAGCAAACCATATATTTGACCATTTGCTAACCCTTAATATTGATTCACATGTGTGGTATGTGGTATTTAAAATTTGATTTCTCTTTTTCTATTTTTAATATTGGGTTGCTAAAAATATTGACCTAATGAAATAAGAGTTGGAAGTTTATTCCTATTTATTTTAAGAATTTCTGGTTTGATTCACATGGGTTGAAAATGTTAATTTTATTTCAGTTTTAAATTCAAGAAAATATGTGTTGTTTTTGGTGTTTGAAATTTTTTTTTTTTTTTTTTTTTTTTTTTTTTTTTTTTTATAATCGGCCCTCTCAAAAAATGTTTCAAAAATGAAGTTTTAGGCTGATTAAAATAAGAGTTGTATAAGCTAGTCCGAACTCTCGGTCGAAAATAAAAAAGATGGAAGTTAATGAAACCTTGAAGCAAAGATACTAGAGAATGATGTTCTCTGTTGACAATTTTGTTTGTTCTCATGTATTTATTTGGTTACTACTGTTTTTAATACTATTCTTTATTCTTATTACTTTAAGAATTTCGGTTTGGGGGTTGCTTTTCGTATCTTTATTCTAAGAGGAAATGTTATACCTAAAATATCCATTAACTTGACCATTGCTAATCTTTATATGGTTTCACATGGTGTATTTTTGGTGTTAGACTTTGAAAATTTGACTTTTTTTTCTATTTTTATTATTTCGTGTCTCAAAAAAATTTCAACCTGAAATGGTAAAATATTGATTTGATGAAGTTTTAGGCTTATTAAGATAGGAATTGGAAGTTTATTTTTTTATTTATTTTAAGAATTTGGTTTGATTCACATGTAGAAAATGTTACTTTAAAATACATAACAAACCATTATATATTTTTTTTTTTGGTAAGTATGCAGTATCGTTAAAAGAGAGAAGAAGTATAAAGATACCATAAAAAAACCAGTCATCCTATCTCAGACAGCGACAGACCTAAGATAGAAACAAAAATATAAGTTTAATTGACTGAAAATCTATCTCATCTTGTTTGTTTATCTAAGCACACGAAGATAGGAGACAAAAGAAGAGGAGCAAGCAAAGGAACACAAAGACAATACAATCTACAGAGGACATACCTTGGGATAGGATCCCAAAAAACTTAAACAAAACAAAAACAACTATACACAACTACCGATTTGACCGTTTGCTAATGGATAATACCTTAATACTGATTAAGTTTTACTAAGAGTTGACGATATTGTGACATAGGCCAGCTCAAGTGGGTAAGCTTTTGCTTTTTCCTTAAAACATTTATTTAATAAAATTAAAATTTCCTTGTAATAGCTTTGTTTGATATTCATTCGTTATATAGTTAGACTAATAGCTATTCTGAACGATTATATTTATAAATAAATATCAAAATATTAGTTTGGTCCTATTATTGAACAATGACTTGGATTGGGGACCATTTTTATATGTGTATATGATTTTATATTTATATTTTATTTATTTTTAAATTTTTTTATATAGTATTTAGCATATTTGATACAAAATTATATGTTTATAAACAATATATATGATCAAGGAATTTGACACAATCTACCTATTAAAAGAATTTTAACTAATGAGGACGGGACTTTGAATGGTTTGAAGATTTGATTTTGATTTGAATCATTAATATCAAAAGAAACTTTTTATAATAAGATTTTTCTTTTGGGTAATTAAGCTTTAAATAGAAAAAGGAAAAGAATGTGCAAAGAGGTTTATAAAGGCGACCGACCTACCACAGGACAAACCTCTGGGAGGATAAAAAACAAAAGTCTAACCAAGACAAAAGAGTTGTATAAGACTTTAAATGGTTTGAAGATTTGATTCTGATTTGAAAGTTATTTTGAAAGTTTGATGAGGATGAACTTAAAAGTTATGCTAAATTAACTTACGGATATATATGACATGTTTTTAAAAAAAAAAAAAAATTCCGGAAATTATTAATATGAGCTAATCACATTTGGATTTATAGTATAGAAAGTTGAAGAAAAGAGTAAAGAAATTATTCTAATTGCATATGTTGGAGTCCCACACTGACTTGGCATGCTCAAGTCTATTGATTTATAAGAATGGGTAATCATCTCATTTAATAAGGTCTTATTGGATGAGGAGTCAAACCCACCTTAAATTTTATCATGGTATTAGAGTCCAGGTTCAGTTCAGTTGAGCTAACTGGTTGACCATCGAGTGAGGAGTTAGAGTCGACAATTACCTCCAATAACAGGCATGACCCAATATATGGGCTTGACCATGAGGGGGAGTGTTGGAGTCTCACACCGACTAGGTACGTTCAAGCCCATTGGTTTATAAGAGGAGGTAATCCTCACATTCAACAAAACCTTATTGGGTGAGAAGTTAAACCCATCTCAAATTCTATCAGTATGCTTTAAAATTATAATTTTTTCCTTCCATATTTGTTAAATTGACATCATTTTATTTTTTGTTATAAAATTTATATAAATATGTATGTGGGATTCGATCACGTTGTATCTCTATATATTTTCTGCTTCTAAGTTTCTATTTAATCATATTTCAACTGAGACTAAGATTTCAAATTTTCAAAACTAATTTATTATTAATGGATTGGCATCCTAGTTTCTTGAAAAAATCTAGAATATCATATAGGTATTACCATCCTCTAGTAAAATTATAACACTACGATATGTTGCGGCATGAACACGTCATTTTTCTCCTCGTACAAATTATATAACTTCTTCTCAATACCATATCTATATTAATGCTAACCAAAACTTTATTATTTCATCTTAAAATCTTCATCTTAACCAATACTTTACCTTCCCCCTTCCCCTTCACTTTCTTTCACTTCACAATACATATTTTCTATAAATTCTTGCATTGTCTGCCTTCATATCTTCATTATCATTGATAATTAACTTTTCCTCTTCTCCTTCTAAGCAATATCTACCAAGAATTCGTATACTCTTTCTTCTTTGTTGTTATGGAAACTTTACGTTCTATTACAAATATTTATTTACTCTTTTCTTTAACCTTCTTGAGCATCCGTTTTACTTTAGCCGCCAATGCCACTCTTATCAAACCCAAACCACTAAAGTTCAAACTACACCACCCTGACACTGTATTTTACAAACCTGATGACACATTGAAGACCGTGCTAATCGCTTTCTAAATGCTTCAATTGATCGTTTATCCTATTTGTTCGAAAAAGCAGGAGGAGGTGATCCTGAATATGATGCTCGTGGTGATTTTGTAACCGATAGAGCTTACAATTATGCTTCTTTTTTCGTAAATTTCTCTATTGGCGACCCATCCTTTTCTCAGCTTGCTCTCATGGACACCGCCAGTGACCTTATATGGGTCGATTGCAAAAGCTTAACTGCTTTTGATCCCTCTGACTCATCACTCACGCACCTTCGCTAAATACACATGTTTAGATCATGTTAATGTTCCTTGCGATACTTGCTCCTCGGCCAATGAGTGCATGTTCACGATCTTATACGCCACTGGAAGTTCATCTGAAGGTGTCCTTGCAACAGAGCGGTTCACTTTTGAATCATCAGATGAAGGTATTACAATTGTAAATGATGTGGTGTTTGGGTGCAGTAGGAAAATTTCTAATACTAGAAACTTAATGGGAGTTTTTGGACTTGCCACTCACAGACCTGGATACTTTATTGTCAAGAAAATGGGCAACAAATTTTCCTATTGTATTGGCAACGTTTATGATAAAGACTATAAATATAACCAAATAAGTTTAGGTGAGGGAACATTTCTTGACGGTGCGGCAACTCCTCTTACTAACTACCGTGGCCTTTACTATGTTGATCTTGAAGGCATTAGTTTAGGAGACAAAAGGCTTGATATTGATCCGAATCTGTTCAAGAGATCTACTTCTTATGGCAAAGATGGAGTAGCTATTGACACTGGGGCTCCATACACTTGGTTAGTCTCAGAGGCATTTTATGTTCTTCGTGCTGAAATTGCGAAAGTCACTGATGGGTTGGGGTTGACGAGGCAATATGATCCACACGTTTGGGGGTTGTGCTACTCCGGGACTGGGAACATAGCTAGGGATCTTCCAGATTTTCCACTTATGACATTTCATTTGGGTAATGGCGCTGATTTGGTTTTAGATACTACGAGTATGTTTTATCAATTTAGCGCTAGAGTGTTTTGCTTGGCATTTGGTCCAAGTGGCCAGAAGGGTTATGACTATTTCTCGGTTATAGGAGTACTGGCTCAGCAGAATCATAATATTGCTTATGATCTTATTGGAAAGAAATTATATATCCAGAAGATCGAATGTAGTCTTCTTGATGAAGATTAACTGATAGGAGATTAAATTAGCTTTTTGAGGAGGGGAGCTTTAACTAATAACAATGACCTTTCTTCATAATTTTCTTTTTAGTTATAATTTTATCCTCGATTAGAATTGCATCGAAAGACATGAATTGAACCATTATCTCTTCATCTTTTGCCAGTATGATCATTGCAGCAATAGTGATATTTTGTCTTAAAGATCCAAAAATTTAATTACATCAAATTTGCTCATTATGGAAGAGCAAAAGAGTGCAAGAATAGAAATAAATATCATATTAAATATTCATTATTGGAAAATAAATATCATATAATTTAATTACTGGCAAGCATAGCTAAAGATATTCTTATTGTTTGTTAATTGTTTACAATATTGGAGGATTACTATAAGCAGTATGATTTTATATGAGGCACTATATTATTGACTTACATATTATTACGAAGAATCTCTTCTTAATTGGACAATTTATAATTAATCAATGTTGAGAAGATTTCACGAATCAATTTGATGGTGTAGGGCCAGAATTTGATGCTGTGTTTTCACTAACCTCCAAAATTGATTCAATTTCTGTTGCAGAAATATGATCAACAGCTTAGTAATTCTTACTGAGGACTGTTAGTACTTTGCTTGTGAGAAGAAATGAAGAAGGTTAAAGTTTTATTTGAGAGGATCAATTGAAACTAAAATAATGTGAACCAAAGGCCAACAATGCAAACAAGACGTTACTTAACGGCTGCTACATTGAAACAGTAACATAAGTTGCCGCAGTTTCACCATTCTGTTGCCATAAATATCGTGCTCCGGCAGCCCAACAGTAAGATCTCAATGTTAACGACCTAAGTTAATGGTAATTCCAGTAGAATTACCTTGTTACTAAAATCAGGCTTAATTTTATTGCGCGGTGTATTGAAGAACAATAAGGAAGTGAGAACTAAGATTGCAAACGATATCTTCAGAACTGCCATGATTTGTTGTCCAGTAGAAGCATCGAAATTGATAATGATCATAAGGGTTTTGCATATACGGTGTGTATACATATGGAGTTAAATATGTTTTGGTCCCTAAGGTTTGATAATTTTAGGTCCATTAAAATCCTAAAATACACTGAGATCCTTATGAATTAAAAACTTATTGAATAATTTTATAAAAGTTCAAAATACCCCTAATTTTATAACTTGAATATATTAATTAATTGGTCCTATACGTGTATGAGTTTTATGATTTTTTTTTTTTTAAAACAATTCAGATTTCTAATATCATATTTAGATGTTTAATTATGGCTAAGATTTTATTTCCCCATTTCATGACCTTTTTTCTCTTCTGTGGCTCAGTCTTTTCTTATATTCTTATTTGAATTAGCAAAACAAAAATTAGAGAAAGGATTCATGAAAGAGTAGAAGTTGATTTTCTCATTCCTTCATTTACAAATCAATGACAGAGAAGGTGGACATCGATAATTCAATTTTACCGATATCAATCAAACATAAATCTCATTCTTGATTGAGTTAAATTCCGCTTTGAAAATTGTAGCGGAGCCAAATGCATGCCTTGGGCAGCCATGGCTACCTAGACCTCACAAAATTTCTTAAACTGTATAGATAAATTTATTTAGTCCCTATAAATTCAGTTTTCACTTTGCCACCCCAAATTTTGAATGTAACACTTTGGACCCTATAAATGTAGTTCCTTATGTAGTCTCTTTATTCATTAAAGATTACATTTTGGTCCCCCAAAATCAATTTTGTGGCTCAACCCTCGATTGGAAGAATCCTTTAAAGAAGTAGAACAGGATTTTCTTTTCTTCCCGAAGGAAGGAGTCAAAGAGTCCAAAAGAAAGATTTTGATTCCTTCCATGAAGAAAGTCCAAAAAGCTAAGTTTCACGTTAATAAATTTCTTAATCTTTAGATACAGAGGATCTTGATAATAAAAAGAGATACATATCATTAAGGAAATAAAAATTAAGGATATAAAAATTATTAATTACACATATTAAAACCATCTCTAACGGTATTATTTATTTTAAAAAATATTTTTTTATATAAATAAAGAATATTTTTATTAATTTCTAAATATAAAGAATAAATTTTTTATTTAAATCTAATAGATTTTGTAAATTTAATGAATATATTTTTTATTTAAAAAAGACTTAATAAAAATAAGAATTAATGAGTAAAATATATAAATAAATTTATAATTTATTAATTAAAATTAAGGTGAAAAGTAAAATTTAAAAAATTAAGTTTATTTTTTAATTAATATTTAAATAATAAAAAAATCTATTAAACTTTTATTTGTATAAATAAACTATCTGCAAGGAAGAGGTTGGTCCTACAAAGAGTTTGGTCAGAGTCAGATAACATCACATTAACTCTATATAACTGTTACAATATGGCAGATTTTCAGAGTCTGCTTCCAATTGAGCAATCATGGCTTCTTTGAAAATATTACTTCTTCCCATCTTGCTTTTATCCTTCTTCTCCTTCTCGGAATCCGGAGAAATCAAAGAACTTCTGGTGGGAGGCACTGAAAATTCATGGAAAATTCCTCCGTCCTTTGATTCTCTCCAGAAATGGGCTATAAAAAACACCTTCCACTTCGTGTACTTCGATTCCCTTGGTAATTTTTCTTCTCAAACTCTTATTTCAATCAATACATTTGTTTGAATATCAATTTTTCTTCAGTCTATTGAATTTTTTTTTTTTTTTTCATTATTTGAGTGTATATTGTTGCAGTCTTTAAATACGATGGCAAAACCGACTCGGTTCTTGAAGTGACAGAAGAAGACTACGAGGCCTGTGAAACATCGAAACCAATCAAAGAATACAGAGATGGTAACACTAAGATTTCACTCAGCACTGGGACAAAGTTCTTTATCAGTGGGGCTGAGGGCCATTGTGAGAAAGGGCAGAAAGTGGAGATAAACGTAGGACCCGATGTGTTGGTTTTAGGATTTGAGGATTTTGGTGACTCAGAAAAAATAATTAAAGAGATCAATTCTTCAGAGAATTCAGATCAGTCATCCTTTTAGTTTTATGATTGTTATATTAATGGATTGATAAAATACTTTGTGCGCAATTTAACTTTAATTGTTGTTTTTTATTTTCAGTTTTTAGTTGAATTTGGTGTGCCATGTTGGTTGCTTGTATGTGTTATCCGGAATTGAGTTGGTGTAATTCCAATAAATCGGTTGTATGTGTTATCCGGAGTTGAATTTTCAGTTTCAGAAACAGCGGTTTTATCTTGGGGGATAGCTAGATTCTGGCGTCTTCAGGCGCTCAGATTATGAAACCAAAAAAAGGGGATAATGGTAAAACGGGGTTGAAGAACCAAATCTCACGGCGGAATCTGAAATTAGGGATTATCTCGAGCAACAAAAAACTCTTGGTGGATGGCGGTGTTGCGTCTGATAATGAGGAAATTGGGTCACTTGGCTTGATGAACTCAAATGACGGTGGTAGAATCGAAATCAATCTGTCTAAGGCAGGGCTGGAACCTGAGCATAATGGCCATGAAATAGGTGAACACACTTGGCTGAATCTCACCCTAATGAGAATTGCAGAGATAGGTCCTGTAGCCCACCTTTGAGGCCTCTTGTTCTGCTGATATGAATTCATCCCAATAGCTGCAATTTTCTTCATAGCATGTTCGAAATTTCTGCTTGATTAGTTTTAACTGATGCAGGTTGATTTGAGGAATTGATTGTGCAGAGCTGTAGATTTGCTGCAAGTATTAGTGTAGAACTGCAGGTTTAATGGCTGAGTTGCAGTTAATTTGCACTGCAGATTAATGCAGCTTGGTTTGAGGAGTTGATTGTTGCAGAACTGCAGATTTGCTGCAAGTATTAGTGTAGAACTGCAGGTTTAATGGTTGAATTGCAGTTGATTTGCACTGCAGATTAATGCAGGTTGGTTTAAGGAGTTGATTGTAGGTTGGTTTGATGAGTTGATTGTTGCAGAGCTGCAAATTTGTTGGAGCTGATATTGTTGCAATTTTAAATGTGAAATTTTGAAGTTTAATGAGTTGACTTAAGAAGATGGTTTAAGCTGCAAGATTAATGCAGGTTTGAGAAGTTGATTTGAGGAGGAATATTGAGATAGTTGAAAAGTAAACCAGTTTTTTGCTTAAGGGGTAGTATTAGCAAAAGATTATAATGCCTGATTTAAGAAGTTGTTTTGAGCTGATTTGAGAAGAAGTTTTGAGTGGAATATTGAGGTAGCTGAAAAGTGAACCAGTTTTGCTTAAGGGGAAGTATTAGCAAAAGGATAAAACGGCGCTGTTTCTGGTTGGCCCTTTCCTAAGTGCAAAGTGATTCAATTTATCTTTCTCAAGCTAACAATATCTACCCTTTCTTCTTCACTGTTATGGAAACTTTACGTGTAGGCATCGCAATGTTCCCCGGGATTTCGGGGACCCGTCCCGCCCCGCCCCATATAATATCTACCCTTTCTTCTTCGCTGTTATGGAAACTTTACGTGTAAGCATGGCAATGTTCCCCGGGATTTCGGGGACCCGTCCCGCCCCGCCCCATATGGGGCGGGGAAGCCCCGGTTTTTTTGGGGATAGGGGCAGGGGTGGGGGTTGTTTTAATCCCCGTCCTCGGGGATGGGGCGGGGGTGGGTGATGCCTTTCCCTTGGCCCGCCCCATATATAATATATAAAATTAAAAAAATGTAAATATATATTTACTTTTCACTAATACCCCTATATTTCACCTAATTACACAATTATCCTACCTATGTAAAGCCATATTTTCCTAATTTCCTTCACCCTAAACAATTGAACAAGAACAAATCCTGACCCATATTTATGTATAATTAATTATGTTTAAACGATTAATTTAAGTGTTTGTCATGTGGACGAGAATTAACTATTGTGTTTGGTAATACTCAAATTAATTTATGTTTATATAAAATTAACGGGGCGGGGACGGGCCTCCAACATCCTTTTGGGGCAGGGAAGGGGAATTCTTGTCATCCCTGTAACAGGGATGGGGCGAGGGTGGAGAATGATTTTAAGGATAGGGATGGGTACGGTGAATGAGATCCCCGCCCCGCCCCATTGCCATGCCTATTTACGTGCTATTACAAATATTTATTTACTCTTTTCTTTAACCCTCTTGAGCATCGTTTTACTTTAGCTGCCAATGCCACTCTTATCAAACCCAAACCACTAAAGCTCAAACTACACCACCGTGACACTGTATTTACAAACCTGATGACACCATTGAAGACCATGCTAATCGCTTTCTAAATGCTTCAATTGATCGTTTATCCTATTTGTTCGAAAAAGCAGGAGGAGGTGATCCTGCATATAATGCTCATGGTGATCTTGTAACCGATAAAGCTTACAAACGTGCTGCCTTCTTTGTAAATTTCTCTATCGGCGACCCACCTTTTTCTCAGCTCGCTCTCATGGACATTGGCAATGACCTTGTATGGGTCGACTGCGAAAGCTCAACTGCTTTTTACCCCCCTGACTCACACACCTTTTCTGGATACACATGTTTTGATCATGATAATGTTCATTGCGATACCTGCTCCTCGGCCAATCAGTGCATGTTCATGATCCGATACGTCAGTGGAGATCCAACTTATGGTGTCCTTGCAATAGAGAAATTCACGTTTGAAACATCAGATGAAGGTATTACAATTGTAAATGATGTGGTGTTCGGGTGCAGTACGAAAATTTCTAATATTACTAGAAAGTTAGTGGGAGTTTTTGGACTTGCCAGTGGAAGACCTGGATAATCTATTGTCAAGAATATGGGCAACAAATTTTCCTATTGTATTGGCAACGTTTATGATAAAAACTACGAATATAACCAAATAAATTTAGGTGACAGAACATTGCTTGAAGGTGCAGCAACTCCTCTTACTAACTACAATGGCATTTACTATGTTGATCTTGTAGGCATTAGTTTAGGAGACAAAAGGCTTGATATTGATCCAAATCTGTTCAAGAGATCAACTTCTTATCGCAAAGATGAAGTAGCCATTGACACTGGGTCTCCATACACTTGGTTAGTCTCAGAGGCATTTTATGTTCTTCGTGCTGAAATCGTGGAAGTAACTGATGGATTGAGGATGAGGAGGCACTATGATACAGACGATTGGGGGTTGTGCTACTACGGGACTGGGAACATAGCTAGAGATCTTCAAGGTTATCCACTTATGACCCTTCATTTGGGTAATGGTGCTGATTTGATTTTAGACACTACGAGTATGTTTTCTCAATTAACCGCTAGAGCGTTTTGCTTGGCATTTGGTCCAAGTAGCCATTATGGTTATAACTATTTCTCGCTTATAGGATTGATGGCTCAGCAGAATCATAATATTGCTTATGATCTTATTGGAAAGCAATTATATATCCAGAAGATCGAATGTAGTCTTCTTGACGAAGATTAACTGATCTGTATGATTGCTACTGGCTCTTCGCTCTATCTGTCATGATTAGGAGCAGCGCAATTTACTCTGTGATTAGGAACAGCCATACTCTATCCCTCTCACGTGGCATTAGCTCCTCTTCCACTTGGCTCTTCCTCTCCCTCTAGGACCATCATCCTCTGCTCCCAACTCAATCCTTTTTACTCTGCTTTCGCTTCATTGTTTTTGTATTTCTAAAAGCGAAATATTATCCTAAATTTTGCAGAATTTTTATATCTCTAATATTTAACAAAAAAATAAATTAGTCTCTAAATAACTGACTGATAATATTGTATGAATTGTCCACTCTGGTATCCGCACAGATGTCGTACCTTGTCGTCATCTGGTTCCAAAAGTACTGCACCCCAATGAGTGTCACTAGCATCCGTCTGAAGAATGCGTTTCCCCGAAGAAGGAATCTTCAATGGCTGTGTATGGAAGGATGAGCGCTTGAGACTCTTGACTGNATCTCGAGCAACAAAAAACTCTTGGTGGATGGCGGTGTTGCGTCTGATAATGAGGAAATTGGGTCACTTGGCTTGATGAACTCAAATGACGGTGGTAGAATCGAAATCAATCTGTCTAAGGCGGTGCTGGAACCGGAGCATAATGGCCATGAAATAGGTGATTGGTGAACACACTTGGCTGAATCTCACCCTAATGAGAATTGCAGAGATAGGTCCAGTAGCCCACCTTTGCGAACGGAAGGTTCTATGAATGAGATGGTCCACTCTATTGTGGCTGGATTTGAGAATGGTGAACCAGGATTGGTCGTCGATGGAGGGTCAACGGCGGTCAAAATAGGAGGAAAGGAGGTGGCTTCGATGAGACTCTGAACTCTGAAGTCTGAACCAGGGTGTGGGGGACGGGTCACTCCATAACCGGGTCCAATCTTCTTTATCTGGACTGGATCGAATTAATGATCTAGGAGGTAAAGCTTATGATCTGCTTCCTCCTAAACAAGATGGCCTTATTACCTCTCTTAAGTCTCTAAGTGGACAAATCTTTATTTGAACCCAATGAACACTTCGGTAAGCAGTTGAAAAATAATCCAAGTGGACAGATTACTTTGCTAGATCCAAAATTTGGGCTCTTCGTCTATTTACAAAGAGGAGACTAGTCTTAACCATCAATCTCCCAAAAATTAACATAGCTTAATAGTAAAAGAGTAAAGAGATTCAATAAGTGTTCTTGAGTTTGAGTCTTCGTAGACACAAATAAGGGTGATAAATATGAGAATTTACTCGGTCGTTTACTTTAAGGTTTCGAGAAATTAGTTGAAGTGCGTACAAACTAACTTGGACGTCACTTATCACAAAAAAAAATATTCATCCAAGGTTCTGTATGAAGTTTAGATAGTGGGAGAAGTGGACTATCGGGTCCTATTGAGAGTATAGGACAGAAACAAAGTTGGGCTCATGTGGACGCTGATAAGGAGACCCCGGAAAATGACCCTTTGCAGTACCATCAACAAAGCTTGTTTAATGTCTTTTATCTTCAGAACCTCTAGACCTCAAAGTGTCCTCGGAAAAGTGTTGTGCTGGCTATCGGCTTTTATGATATGCAGTTAGAAAGTTAAAAGGATACTCTTTCAATAGGCCCCTTCCGGGTATACCAATGGTAGCCGAAATTCAATCATTTTAATTCATGATACAATGGTGCAGTTAGAAGTTCTTTGGATGTAACATATGCAAAAGATTTGGTTGAAATAGATGTACTAAGTTCACTCCCATCCTCTTTAATGGTCGACATGCCAAATGATGGAATTTATATTGATATTGTTTATGAAAAACTCCACACCTAAATGCTCTCTCTGTGGCACGATTGGCCATGAACAAGAACCTCATGATACAATAGTGCAGTTAGAAGCAAGACGTATTAATTATAAGGTTGAAACCATAATTCGTCAGGATAATTTACCACCTTGTCGAATTGATCAAAAGTAAACTTCTTTTAGCAAGAGCCATAATGATTCCCACAACATTGACAACGAAGGTTTCGATTTGTTTCGATTGAGAACACTATTGATTTTGCTTATTACTTTGACTTGGATCAACAGCCAAGCAAAATGCATAAGCATTTATTTGCTCAAACATACTCCAAATATCCAAAACCAACATCACCGGAAAACCCAAAAGATTTTTGCTTATTCTCCCATATAGTAACACAATTGCCATGCCTGCTTCTCTAAAACAAACCCTGTCAACATCCCTTGAGAGAGATGCTCGATTTCTTCACAAAGCAGACGATATGCGCTTGTGGGTAGCCAAGTGTACAACGAACCAGAATTGATGATTACTCCATTATCGACTCGAGCTCGGTGGAATATATTTTCATCAATATCAAGCATTTTGTCCCCTACACTAATACCATCAAGAGGAATGTAATATCTACCGTCAATGAAATATAAAGAGATTGCACCCAAAAGGCAATAACTACACCGTCAATAGAAAAACCTTTATCTTCATTTGGTGAGCCGAAGATGAATAGCTCTTTGGCTTATATTCCTTCTACTTTTTCACCAGATTGGTATATAGCCTGGAAAATGCATTGCTTGGCCTCACAGTCAGAGCAAAAAACCTTGTCATTGCATGAAACAGTAGCAAATTGACGATGCATTTTGTTATAACAGTTCTTATTATTTTGTTCATGATGATGATGAACAAAATAATAAAATTAGAAAGTTCTTTCTTTTCTTATCCATTAAATTGAGGAAGTATTATTATATATAATAATAAAGGCTAGCTAGTGACTAGTGTCATTTTTTAAGCCACAACAAGAAACATATATGACTATTTTTATTAATCTGAAATTGAAGTTTTTGATGATAATGTTAGATACGAAAGCCTTGGTCCAAGTAGTTTGCCTATTTAAATTCTCCCACTATATAGGACAGAAATTAGGAAGTAAATAAATTTTGCAAGTCTTATAATTTAAATGCAATTGGGTTTTCTTATTTATCTTTTTAATTTAAATAGAATTTTTATATTTATTTGTTAACTATATATAATATTCAAAACCCTAACCTCTCTCATTCTTTTTCTTCCTCCTCATCATTATTTTGCTGCTTCTACTATGGCAGTTCTGAACATTTCATTCACAATATTAGCTCTCGCTTTCTTATTATCTGTCTTCTCTGAAGCCTATCCCTTTTGTGACAATAAAGAACTTGTGGTTTGAGGCAATGAAACTTCGTGGAGAATTCCTCCATCCAATAATTCTTTCAATGAATGGAGAAAGAAAATAGATGAGTTTATAGTGGGCGATACTCTTAGTAATTTCCCATCTCTAATTTCCCATATATCATTAACATCCTTGTTTTAAAATGTTATGTTTTATCATTCTCAAACAAAAACTCTTATTTTTTGCAGCTTTCAAATACGATAACAAGATGGATTCAGTGTTTGAAGTGAGCAGGAGCGATTATCTAGTTTGCGAAACATCGAAACCGATCAAAGAATACAGAGATGGTAACACCACCGTTGAACTAGATCGTTGGGGAAATTACTACTTCATCAGTGGAGCTGAAGGTCACTGCGAGAAAGGACAGAAATTAGAGATATACGCAGAAGTTGATGGTGTTTGTTATTGGAGGACAAGAGAATTTCCCACACCTCCTGAAGCAATTGCTGATGAAGAAGACGAAGATCATGATGGTGATAAGAAGGATTATTATATTTATGATCATTCTGACTATGATTATCAAGATTATGATTATTATTTGGACGAAAATCATGCTGTTCAGATAGAAATAATGAAAAGCAGGTTATTTGGTCGTAAAGTTTGAGGTGGAATGTTGAGCAGACTTTAAATCAGTTTTTAAAGTCTGGCAAGTCAATTTAGTGGGTTAAAATCTTGTTAAATAAAGTTTAGAAAAATGTTATCCTTACAAAGACTCATACAAAGAGGGTTACAAAGTGACATTATCCAGAAGAAAAAAACAAAGAAAAAACAGAAAAAGAGAAAGAGAGAGAGAGAGAAATCATGAAAATCAAGGGTGGAGATTGTCTTTGTATGCCCTTTTTGTATGTATCTTTGTAAAACTAGCATTACTCTAAAGTTTAAGTGATGCGGTGCGTTTTCATTCTTTCAGTTACAATCAGTTAGCTATAATTATAAAAGCCAGTGTCAGTTAATGAAAGATCAGCTTTCTGTTTCTTTAATTCTTCCTCAATTTTCTTTCATTCTGGAACTTTCTTCGAAAGTCCTACAGTGACACGACATGCCCCGACCCTCATCCCATAGGTTACTCGAGTAACCGAGACATGCTATGTGGAAATTTGAAAACCTGTATTCTAAATACATTTTTCATAAAAACATTTAGAATACAAGTTTTCAGATTTCCATAAAAACATTCCCTTGAAACTAATTCGTGCTACAACAACTCGATAGGAAACTCTTTGTGCTACAGTAACTCGATATAGAAAAAAAGGATTGTCCTTGGGAATGCACTGGAGTCTGGTGCCGAAAGGCGTCCAAAATTTGAAGACGAAGAAAGGGGATAAAGGTAAGTTGGGGGTGAAGAACCAAAACTCTCGGCAGGATTTGAAGTTAGGGATTAGCTCGGGGATTAGGAAAATAATGGGGGAAGGTATAGTTATTGTAGAGTATTCATTTTTATCAAACTTATGAGTTGTGTATGTGCACAGTAGTTATGTGTGCACACTGACTGTCAATCCTTTTATTTGGCTTGTTTAATCTGTTGTGTGTGTGCATATAAGTTATTAGTGCACACTGTTTGCCAGACTTGTGTCTTGGCTTGTTTCATTTCAAGTGTGTGTGCACAACGGTTTGTGCTTACACTCTCGCTTCAAATATTTTGCAACCTAACACAAGTTGCATGTCTGATAAAGTGAAAAAGATATTGTTTATCTTTGTCTCTTGATATTTAGGACCTTTTGCATGTGTCATAATATCCTTAAGTGGTCCTAGGGAATAAAGTTATCTTTCCCGATTTGTTTTGTGGTCCAAACCAAAATAAA